GACACTTGAGATGTGAAGACCCATGCTAAGAGGAGGAAGGCCAATGGCAGCTAGACACCCCACCACTCTGCCCAAAAACAAAACTGCAGGGCAGTCACTGGCTCCAGAAATGCCTTGCCCTGGGAAGAAAGTAAAAATACATGAATATACAGATACATACAAGAAAAGAAAGAAAAGGAAAGAGGCAGTGATGTCAAGGCTAGACTTATACCTCTAACAGATGGAAAGTTAATGTGATCATTAACTAATCCTAACAGCACTAGCTATGAGGTCATTACAAGCGAGGAGCCTGGTTTATTTTATTTAATGAATTGCCATGTGTGGCTGGTGGCTACCATACTAGACAAAACCAGGCCCTTCCAGACGCTACTGCCGTCTTTTTGAACATTAATAAGGTTTCCATTACTGTAACAAACTATCAGGATAGTCTCCTGGACTCGGGAGCTTCAGGCCATGGTCCATAGGTCCCACTGATTTGGGCTACTGTGAGGCAAAACCTTGTGATGGTGAGTGCCTGAGGAACAAGATGCTTGCCACATGGCAGCTGGGAAGTGACAGGAAGTGGGCAGGATTCCAAATGCCCCTTCAAGAATGCCCCCAAAGACCAGACTTCCTCCCACCGGAACCTTTTAAAGGTTCTACCACCTACCAACAGCGCACGAGTTGGCAACCAGCCTCTAACATGTGGGCCTTTGGAAGACATTTACGCAAACCACATTAGTCAGCAATATAGGGATGCTTCTTGGTAGACTTTGAGCCTTCCCTTTCCTCTGGACACTTCCTGCAGCATCAGCTCCCACACTTGTAGGCTCAAGATGGCCAATGCCTGCCCCTGTCTCAATGGAGACAATGTTTTACATGTCCTATCTCATCTTGAGTCTCTCTGTAGAATCTTAGTCTTCCCCCAACTCCAGAATGGGCTGCTGGCCTTCTATGAGGAAGCCGGGAGAAGAGACTGACGAATGTAAAGCTGGTGAAAGGAAGAATCATCCCAAGTAGAAGGGAAAGGCCACCAGAGAAGAATCCCTTTTGGCCCTTCTTCCTCTGCGTACCCCAGATGAGGAACAAAGGCAAATACAGAGAGGGTATTAAATATTTGATTAGTTATTAAATAGCAAGATCAGTGCCAGGGACCACAGAGCCTCAACCTACTGAACCTCTATGCCCTTGACATATGCATAATTTAGCCTGCGGTGATGGCTAGTTTGTCCTTATTGCAGAGGAGAGTGCTGAAGCACAGACGGGTTAAGGGAACATGCCCACGACTGTGCGGATGGGTAAGCGACACCACTGCCATCCAAATCCAACCATGTGTGTTGTTCACTCCGTTACTTAAACAGACGAAGGATTTGTGCTTTCAAGAGCATCTGGGTTACTCTACAGTCTATCCCTCTGCCCTTCCTGCCACATGGGAGCTCATGATACAAAACATCTCTAATGTAGCATGTATACACATACAGAATAGGAGCAGCACATACAGAGCTGTACAAGCAATTCAACCCAGGAACAAGAAAGTATGGAGAAGGTCCACATGGTGACACACTTAGGGTCAAACAGCCCAAAGCTCTGAAGAAGCCCAGACAGCAGGAAAATACAAAATCCTAAGGATGTACCGTGTGTAAAGGAAGTTGTGTTGAGCTACAGGGATAAGGGGAGTGGTGGGGGAAGGAAGCAGAAACCCCAGAATGAAGCCATCTGTGCTTCAGGGTCTTGTGCTGGGTTTCAGACTGGTCTGTGGGAAGAAGAGTAACCAGAGCTAACAAGATGGCTGGCCTGTGCAATCCAGTCCAGCATAAAGCTGACATGGGCGGAAGGTTCGGCTGGATATGATTCTACAAAAGGGTGACACCTGAGCCCCAAATGAGTGGCCCCAAATATCCCATGGCCCAAGCGACACGTTACCAAAGGGCAGATGGAAACCGACCCTACGCAAGAACAAGTGAATCAGCTAGAGACTAACAGTCGTTATATTTCAGACTGACAGCGAAGGGGGCTCCTGTGGACAGTGGACTCTGGGCTCTTCTTTGCAACATTGGTATATGGTGACATCGGAACAAAGTACTTCCTAGGGTCATGGAACTATATTCCCCTGTCTCATGCTTACTGACCTCCAGGAATCCATTTCTCGTACATGTTCCTTAGCAGAGGGCAGGCTGAAGCTTAGAACCTGCTCTCCGTAGGTTAAGTAACGCCCTTCCCATGTCCCACTCAAATTAGCCGTCAGCTCTTTACCCCTCGCCTAACCTAATTCAATACCTGTAGCAACAATGTGCACAAGTCCCAGACAGCAGGTGCGGAAACCCTACCCTGAGCTAAAATGTATGATAAATTCAAAACGCCCTCTAGATTACTACATACAAAAAAGGCGAAAGACCAATAACTTTACATTCGTTGATCACAAATAGTATTGAGCTTGTACGTGTAGTAAAAATATAAAGTAAATGAAAATATTGAACTGTATTAAGCTAATCAAATTATTGATATTTATTTTGTATTTTTTTCATTTATTTTGATGTGCTTTGTTTTGTTATACAGGTGGTTCAATTTTTCTTAGACAGAATTTCTCAACCAAGGCTGGCCTTCAAATACAGGCTTAAAATTCCAATTGGCACCTTTAACACGTCTGTGCCTCAAATTCCTCATTAATAAAATGGAAATGCTAAGTGTGATAACTGAGTTCTGGGGTAGCGGATTGTCCACCACCCTACAAACTCAGGGTCCTTGTTTTTAAACCCCACCCAAGGAAATGCCAGAAGAGCCTCAACAAGTTAACTTAGATACAACATTTCAACCTTCTTCACAACTTCTCAGATCAAAACCGCAGGGTCATTTTTTTAACGTTCCTCACCTCGATCCAGTCAGATCTCCCCTGTCCTTTCTTTGCTCCCTTCAGCCAGCTATTGAACTGCTCACACTGGAGCAACCATCAACAAGAAGGCCTTAAACAATGTTGCCATGTCAACCATGCTTCGGGCCTACTAACTCACTTGGTCCTCACCATCAGTCAGTGCCTGCATCTTTTCTGCGAACCAGTCTCCCTGGATGACCCATTTCATGACTTGCACCATTAACCATGTGCAGCTTCTTTAGACACACCCTCATCAGCTGTCAGAAAGTTAAAAAGTCAAGCTCCATTCAAAGTCTCCTAGGAAATCATCCTTTAGCCAAACATTTACAGCATCTAGCCCTGCTCCACCCCTATCTTTATCTCTGCTCCCCGACAAAAACCCCCTTCATTAGTCAAAGAAGGCTCTACTCAAGGATGTAATGGCTCCCACCCGCCTCAGAAATGTGAGGTGCTCCATGAACTCATAAAAACACCTGGGCACCAACTAACCTTGCCTCTGAGCTGCAATAAAACTCCTGTCTTAGGCCACTCACTGCAGTCCATAAAAATATATCGGAGGGGATAAATGCCTCTTACAATCAGTTGCCATGGGCAACTGAAAACTAAACACTAGGGTCCCCCTTTTTATAATCGTGTCTAATATGGATCTCTACTTAGAATGTACACTAATTTAGTAAATAATGTAATGTATGAATGACTTGGGGCTGGAGAACTGGCTCAGCAATTAAGAACACTTGCTCTTGCAGAGGATCTGGGTTCAATTCCCAGCACCCACCTGGTGGCTCACCACGCATCTGTAACAACAACCGAGGGGAATCCCAAACACCCACTTCTGGCCTCCTTGAACAGCAGGCCCACACACACCGCACATACGCATACATGCAGGCAAAACACTCACACGTAAAATAATAAAAATTAATTTTAAATAAATAAATAAATGATGTATAGACGGTGTTGCTAAAGTTACTTTTCAGTTCTCCAATTTAGTCAACTTACTTCCCTACCCATAAAATACCTGTTGACCAGAATGACAGTATACTGAATCTGAGTTCCACGGCAGAGCTTTCATTGCTCTTCCAAGTTCATTATCTTCTCTACTCAGAAAAACAATCTTATGAAGGACATACTGTTACACCCTCAGTCATCTGAGATCCAAAGTAGAGACACTTTCCTCAAGTTCATCCGACTTACAAATGACAGGAACTAGGGCCCCTCCAATAGCCTAATCTCCCTTTTATCTCCATCCCTCCTCGCCTTAACTAAGAAGTTAAGGAAAAGAATGAAAGAAGACAGTGAGAATTCTTGATCCTGACAGCAGACGTGGTAAAGTAATGACTTCAAAAGAACATTTGCTTGAAACAGCTTTTTTTTTTTTTTCCTTCCCCCTGACTCGCCAAGGGCAAGTGATGATTTGCAAGACTGAATTTAACCCTCATGATCCTGTCAGCTGAAGAATAAAAAATTCCATCTAAACCTAAAACCAGTGCCTTAGCAGCCTCCGAAGTTGAATGGTCTCCACTTTCGCTCTTACCGTCTTAGCTGCTGCCACCAATGAATAAGTACAGAAGGAAACAACCTTCGGAAGGCACAGTACTTGGCCAACAAGGCCAACTGGCACTCGCTGCTCAGTGTTAGAAAACCATCAGTCTTCCCACACCTAACTGTCACCAGGAATCGAGTCTTTAAAAGTATGTCTGTGTCAGGCATTCCGATTTAAAACAGAAGCACAAAGAACCTCAGTCCAGAGCAGTCCCGATTCATGAATGGCCACATTGTTATTCTCCCGGCTCTCTGCAACTCATAAATGCAAAAGACCGCGGAGAGCGACACAAACCTGGGACCAAGCACTCCGGAAGAGCCAAGAAAACCGAGAACGTGCAGAGGCGCCTTCCTCCGCCTCCGCCGCAGCCCTGGGCCTCTCCAGCCGAGGGGACAGCTCCGGGCCGGGGCTGGGCTACGAGGGCCGCCGCCGCCCGGGTCCCCGCCCCCGGCCCCCGCAAGATGCACGGGGGGGGGGGGGGGGGGGGGCCCCCGCCCCCCCCGCCCCCCCCCCCGCCCCCCCCCCCCCCCGGGGGGGGGGGGGGGGGGAAGGGGCCCAAGGCTCCCACGGCCGTCCCCGCTCCTCGCGCTCCCTCCTGTGCCCTCCACTCACCCAGTTCTGCGCGTCGTTGCTCAGCTTGACTTTCTTGCACAGACTCCCAGGAATCTCCATGGCCGCGAAGCGCGGGTGTCCAGCTGCTGAGCGCCCGGGAGCGGAGCTGGAGGAGAGAGGCCAGGGGCGGGGCGGAGCAGGGAAAGGGGCGGAGCCTGCAGCCCCGGGCCACGGGCGCGCGCTGACGTCCTCTCCGACTACTGATCGCCTTTGGCAGAGCTCGGCGCGGAGGGCGTGGCGAAGCGAGGGGCGCGGGGTCGGGATCTCAACGTCCAATCACCGGAGGCGGTGCTTAAAGCTCCGCCTCGACCTGGAGGAGGGGCGTGGCCCGAGGGCTAATGGGAGAAAGACGCCGGCTGCTGCGCAGGCGCGGGGAGCGAGCCCGAGTGCCGCCTGCGGAGGGGCGTGGCAGAAGAGCCTCCAAGCTGAGGCTGTTTGGGGAAGAGGCTGACGTGGACTCCTGCAGCTCTCCAGCTTTTCTTCCGCTTTCCTAAACTAAGCCTTCCCCAGGCTCGAGTTGTGTTCTTGTCAACCGGGCCGCCTTCCAGGAACGTTTCCCAGCCCTGCGAAAGGAAGAGTTCATTTGGCGAACCATTCCCATGTTGCTCATCGCTGTAAAATTCTACCCAGGGCACGAAGCTTTAGAAAGCAGTCCTCCATCTTTTGCCATTGATGGTTTCTCATCAAGAATTAGAAAGTATTTCTAAAGTGCCCATTTGGAGACCCCCACTTAGTATCGGGAAATTTCTATGCAGTGTTTGTTGCACTGACTAGCCGCGAAGGAGCGTCTCTAGTCCTTGCTACTCACAGAGAACTGAAATCCGGGTCCCCTGGTAAGCAAGACGGAACGCTCACCTATAAAGGGCCTTTACAACCTCATATATTCCAAGACCAGTTCCAAAAAGAATGAGGCTGGTAGTGGGAGGCTTCCTACAGGATTTATAGCCCCTTCTGCCCATCCCCATAACCTTAAGCTCCCTTTCCACAGTCTCACAAACTTAGCTGTTTGCTCTGCCACTAAGAACTGCCCGCCATACACACACATTGCCCACCATACACACACAAACACACACACACACACACACACACACACATGACATACACTGCCCTTCACTTCTCTTCCATCCTTTCCATTCTCAATACTGTGTCAGACTGTTACTTCTAAAAAATAAATCCGATCTTGTTCCTCCACCAGTTAAAATATCTTGGTGTTGTTTGTGTGTTTGTTTGTGTTTGGTTGGATTGGTTTTGGTTTTTCCAGACAGGCTTTCTCTGAGTAGCCCTGGCTGTCCTGGAACTCACGCTGTAGACCAGGCTGGTGCCAACTCAAGAGGTCCCCTGTCTGCTAGGATTAAAGGCATACTCCATCCTTTAGCTCTATATAGAGGATTCTTAATCTAAGGGTCTGTATGTAGCACAGAATTTCAATACAATTCTAAATTCTGCCAGTAGCAGGAATGAGACTAAAAGAGAATTCCAAAATAAGGACAACAATAAACAAGGAAATGTAGGCAAAGGCCAAAGGTAGGTATTTATGAAAACATCGTAAAGAACCCTACTCTTTTGTATGCACCTAAAAAATTATTTTTCTTTTTAAAAGATTCCAAGGTCAGACTAAGGGGGAGGGGATAGAGTGCTACCTGCAGCGGCTATTTCTCAGAGCATCTCCATTCCTACATGAGGGAAATGGTACTTAGATACGATTCAACCCGTGGGAGTACTCATTGATTGTAAACTCTGCTAAACTCTGCTGAAACATTCTCACATCAAAAATGCCACAATTAGAACACAAATGGGACAACTAAAAAATAAAGGGACTTTCTGAGTGTGTTTAAGTCCCAGTGTTTATAAACATAATTTAAGAGCTTGTTTATCCTTGGGAGATGCAGTTGAGTTTTTATTTTTATGTGTATGAGTGTTTCTCCAGCAGGTAAGATTGTGCACTCTATGGGTGTCCATAAATCAAGAGCCAGATAGAAAATGCATCCAAGTCTCCCACATGGTAGGAGCGTGCCAACTGAAGTGGGATATATCTTCAAGCCTCTATTAATGTGTAAACTGCTCCCCTAGTCACTTTCATTTCTCTACAGACTCACTAAAAAGAGGGGTGGGAGTGGGGGTGGGGCATTTCCCACCTAAACTCTTGCGGAAATGAATGGAATCTGTGAGATTAAAGACAGGTGGGAGCTGGTTGTGGTGGCTCATGGCTTTAATCTCAGCCTGCAGGAGACAGGCAGGTGAATATCCGTGAAAAGCCAGCCTAACCAAAATTACATAGTAAGACCTTATCTTAAGAAACAAAACAAGGGGGCTGAGAGATGGCTCAGAGGTTAAGAGCACTGGCAGTTTTCCCAAAAGTCCTGCATTTCAATTCCCAGCAACCACACAGTGGCTCATAACCACCTATAATGACATTTGGCGCCCTCTTCTGGTGTGTAGGCATACATGCAGGCAAAATGCTGTATAAATAATAAATAAATCTTAAAAAAATAAAAAGAAAAAGAAACAAAACTAAGACAGAAGGGACTGAGTGATAAAGTCATTCACCACAGGAGTACCAGCTAACAATTCTCATGTCATGATATTTGCATGACAGAATTGAAGAAGTAAATAAATGGAATGCCCTGGTGGAAAGTGAAACTTAGGCAAGGTAAGAGGAAGCTAAAATATTTTATGCACGGGTGCATTAAGTTGAAGGCATTAGCAGAAACTCATATTTAAATATAAATATATCTAGAAATATCTGTGTACATTATGAATGTGTATGTAAACAGTATATGTGTCTTGATGTGTTTCTTATTGCTGTGATAAAACACTGCGGCAAGCAATATCCCAGGTCACATTAACAGAAGCCAAGGCAGAAACCTGGAGGCAGGAACTGAAGCAGAGGCCATGGAGGGTTGCTGCTTACTCAGCCTGTTTTCTTATACAATCTAGAACCACCTGCCCCGTGGTGACACCTCCCACAGTGAGCAAAACCCTTTCACATCAATCATTAGTCAAGAAAATGCTACCCAGAGACTTGACTACAGGGCAGTCTGATGCAGGCAATTCCTCAGCAGAGATTCCCTCTTCCCAGACATGTCTAGGTTTGCATCAAAAGTTGACAAAAACCAGTCAGGACAATATGCAAATGGAATGCTTTGTCTGTCAACTGAGGGGGCTTCAGAAGAAGTGGCATCCAGAACAAGTACCTAATGCCCAGACATTCGATTTCCAGTGCTACAGTGGTTAGTGCTGTGGTTCAGGAACAGCCACTCAGACACCAATCTCAGTAAGACATGGATGGTTTATTGATCGCACACCCCCAGACTGATCGATCATGGATGCAGTCCAGACTCAGGAGCTGAGATGCAACCTTGAATGCTTTTCAGAGTCAACTTATAAAGGAAAAAAATGCAATTCGCTCATACATGGGGGAGGGTGGACAGTGTAACAGGGAGGTCAGCTGTGACTCAAGTTATTTTTGCCATCTAGACAAAGCAGTTCTAGCTGACCTTGGTCCTAAGTGAGGCTAACAGTTAGGGCCAGCTGCATCCAGCTGTGTTTACAGTTGGGGAATTTCCAGGGTTAACAAGGTCACAGAGTATGCTGAACATAAACGTAGTTTTAGATTTTGGTCAACCTGGCCATGCACAGAAATTATTTTATGTCAGCAACAAGCTGAGATGATGTGGCTGATAGGCCTGAAACAAAAATGGCTACAGTTATGCTAAAGGAGTAGGCCTACACAGGAGGGAAAGTGGGCCTTCACAGTTACAAACAAGAAGATGCTTCTAATATAATTTCCATAAAAAAGATCCAGAGCTCCCAGCACTCGGGGAGGCAGAGGCAGGTGGATCTCTGTGAGTTTGAGGCCAGCCAGGTCTGCAAAGCAAGTCCAGGACAACCAAGGCTACACAAAGAAACCCTGTCCTGAAAGGGGGAAAAAAGCCCACAGAAGGTGCAGCCCTCTGGCCCTTATTATGTCCATGCTTCCCTCCAAAGAGCACTTTATAGAAACAGAGCAGGAAAGAGCAAGTTGATTGTAGTGAAAGCGACAGAATCTACCGGAGCCAGGCCAAATGAACAATGAGGTTCCTAGTATGTAGCCTTCCTACAGTAGAGGAAAATGATGCTTAGCCTCTGTGATCTTCATTGCTATCAAATCACTTCTTGAGAATTATAATAAATACTATTAATATAATCATAATAAATCAGATGCCAATAGTGGTATTTGATACAAAATCCCTAACAAATAGTCCTCAGAATTCACAAGGTCATAAAAAACACTGGAAAACTCCGAAGTTAGCACGCTCAGGAGAAGGGTGAGAAAAAAAAAAAAGAAGAAGAAGAAGAAAGAAAAAGGAAAAGAAAAGAAAGAAAAAAAAATAAGGTAATGACCTAGATAGAATCCTGGAATACAGTAAGAAATCACCACTGGGCTGAAGAGATGGCTCTGCAGCTATCAGCCCTCGATGCTTCTCCACAGGCCTCAAGTTCTTAGCATCCACATCAGGCAGCTAACAACCATATGTAGCTAACTTCTCCAGAGGACCCAGAGCCCTCTTCTGCACATGCCCACACCAGCACATACATATACACACAATTTAAAATAATAAAAATAAATCTGTTTGGGGTTGTTTTAATTATTTCTTTTAGTATCTTGAGACTATAATATAATTATAGATCATGCCCCCTTCTTTTTTTCTTTCTCCAAACTCTCCCATCTATCCCTCCTAGGTCTCTTTCGAATTCATGGTCTCTTTTTTCATTAATTATTGATGTGTGTGTGTGTGTGTGTGTGTGTGTGTGCACGATCTCAAGCACGCACATGTTCTAAAATAAATAAATACAACCTGCTCAGTGTGTAGAATGTTGTATGTAAATTGTGTCCATGGTGGTGGCCACCTGTGATCCCAGCACTCTGGGAGGCAGAGGCAGGCAGATCTCTGTTGAGTTCGAGACCAGCGTAGACTGCAAAGCGAGTCCAAGACAGCCAAGGCTACACACAGAAACCCTGTCTCAAAAAACAAAAACAGAAACAAAAAAAAGTTGTATGTATGTTTTCAGTACTGACCATTTTGTATTGCATAACCAATTGGTATGCTCTTCCCTGGGGAAGACTATGTCTAGCCAACTCAGCATTCCTCAGTTGTCTGTAATTC